ATTTCCTTTTCTTTATTACTTAAGTAGGTGGACGAATTCACGGCCCACCTGGTCTTTAGTGGTCACCGAAGCCCATGGACATCAACAACGTAAATGTCACCACCCGCCTTGAGACATGACTTCTACAGTCTCAGTTTTTACAGCAAAACGACTGTTCCACCCTTCAAACCGACTAGCATTACTGATTCACGGCAGTAATAAAGTGTTGGTACCTACCCGTTCCGTAAGCCCTACCACCAGTAGGGGGGCTTGTTCATATTATGTTTTTGGCGCATGGACTAATTGTATTATAATTCGATATCGATTATATTTCGATTTTAAACATCTGTTTTGACTGTGAGATCTTGTAATGCTTAATTAATTTTATAGTACTGATGGCGAAGGGGTTTGTTAGAGCTCTCGAAGTTAGGTGCTATCATCGCATCTATTTCTGCCGCGATTCATACGTATATGTATTCCAGTTTGAAGGATCAAGTAAGATCGGTCACCTGTTTGGTGGATGTCGGCCTTCACCATATAACATCAAGAGGCTCAACTCTGCCGCGTAAACAGAACAATAAAATATAAGCAATTTAACAATTAAACAACTAAAAGAACAAAAAAGAAACCAGTCTCAACATAAAACATATTTCCTAAAAAAAATATTGAAGTTTAATGCGATCGCAATTAAGAAAGCGTTTCTGAATTAACCCGATGATCTTGACATTTGATGCGACCTGATATTTTAATTTGCATTCGGCGACGTCGCGGCGTCGTGGCATGCAAGGTGGCTGGCTCGGTGAATGGGATGCTTTCTTTCTATTGTCACGTTATTGTTATCATTATTTCGACATACTAACATGGAACCTTCAGACTATTAAATTTCATGATCATGTTGTTATTGAATAGGATTGACGGTCTTATTAACTACAATGCGAGGACAAATTAAGGGTATGAACAATGATAACTTTATAAGTTCATAGAAAAGACAACGGCAATAATTACGTAATGGTTGTTTCGTAATAAAACTGACTAAGATGGTTTAAGCTCATGTGTCACGTGACCTAAAATCAGTAGATATAATATAGATAAGTAAATAAGTATAGATCGAACTACCAATACTCCGATAATATATTTTTTCTGCAGGTTGCCGATCTGAAGGCCCATCTGAGTTTTAAATGGTAATTTACCTGCAAACATGAGATCGTAGTTTTATTTATATTGTATAACGGTTATTTTTTTTTTTATTGCTTGGATGGGAGGACGACCTCATAGCCCACCTGGTCTTAAGTGGTTACTGGAGCCCATAGACATCTACAACGTAAATGCGCCACCCACCTTGAGATATAAGTTCTAAGGTCTCAAGTATAATTACTATATAATGTCATAAAAGCGCTTTACTATGGATCGTCGTGTAGAGTGCTCCACAGGGGAAAACTCACGGATAATATCGTGGTCACCGCAGGCGTCAAGCAAGGTTGCTTGCTGTCTCCCCTGCTGTTTATAATGATGCTTGATGATGTGATGCGCAGAGTCACCTGTAAATGCCGACAAGGACTGCCTTGGACCGCGGATGAAGACCTTGAGGACATCGACTTTGCTGATGACATTTGCCTCTTAGCAACCAATCGGCAGCAGCTACAAAACAAAGCAGATGATCTAGTAGATGAAGCTGAAAAGGCAGGGCTGCGTATTAATTTCTCAAAAAAAAAGGAAATGCGCATAAATACCACTGATTCGGCTCCTATGTCGATCAAAGGGAGGCACATCGAGCAGGTGGGAAGCTTCTGTTACCTGGGCAGCATTGTGGACGATAGGGGGGGCACCGAGGCAGACAATGCGGCTCGTATAAATAAAGCCAGAGCCGCGTTTAGTCAACTTAGGCCAGTATGGAGTTCCTCAACCTTAACACGACGAACAAAGGTGAGGATCTTCAACTCAAATGTAAAGTCTGTATTGCTGTACGGGAGCGAAACTTGGTTTGTTCGCAAGGACTTGATCAAAAAACTTCGTGAATAAGTGCCTGCGTCAGATTTTGAAAATCTTTTGGCCTGAGAAGACCACTAACAAAGAGCTGTGGAGAATCACTAAGCAGACACCAATGGAGAAGGAGATCCTTACGCGGAAGTGGCATTGGATTGGTCACACTTTGAGAAAGCCCGATACCCGCCTATCAAAGAGAGCACTGACCTGGAAAGTGTCTGGCAAAAGGAAGAGAGGCCGCCCCAGAACAACTTGGCGTCGCTCGGTGGAGCAGGAGCTAGGGGTCTTGGGCATGACGTGGGAGGAGCTAGAACAGACTGCCCAAGACCGATATAAATGGAAAAATTTGATTCGAGCCCTACACCCCAGCAGAGGGTAATAGGAAATAATGATGATGAAGTATAATGACTTGCAGTTATCAACCCTCGAATCAGAATGCAGTATCAGTTTTAGGTAGAAATTTATCTTGAGCGCACGTTGACTCTGCCCGGGAATCGAACTTCAACAACGTTAATTAATAGCCACGGTCACTAAACCCTAAAACTAAAACAACGAGGCAATCAAATACGTCCCATTATTTGTTTTTAAAAGACAATGTTAGTAAATTTGTATTCAAATTTATTCTAAATTCATTAGCGCTAAGCAAATTTACAAAAAAATTGTGTCATCCATAAAACTAAAGTTGAAAATGTCCGAAGCTCTTTTAGTGGAAATAAAATATTGACGAACCAACGGGTCTAAGTTGTACGTCACCACAGTACATAAATGTGTTAATGTAAATAAATCACAGAAATTTTGAAGTACTCGTTGGTCTTGTAATTAGCGGTCCTGGTTGTTGCAGCGACGGTCGCGGGTTCGATTCCCACTTCGGACAAAGTTTCGTGTGATATACGTGAACATGTTTGTTTGTTTGCAATGTACATATATATTTCAACGTATATACATAAGTACGTATGTAAATCTCTGGTATCCATAACACAGGGAATTCTAATTTGGGGTCGGATGATCGTGCGTGATTTTTAAAAAATAAAATAAAATAAAAATAGCAGACTTTTTAACCAACGTGAACATCCTTTGACACATGAGGAAAATCGACTTTTAAATGTGCTGAGATGCTTAACTGTAACAGATAAATTATGAAGCTTAGTCTAGTTTTGGTTTGCTCGGCCCAATTTGTCGAATAATCACATACCCTGATCAACTACATGCAGATGCAGATGCTCTTAATCCAGATCTTTCATGCGTACTATATAAGTAAGTCGTCGTGGCCTAAAGGATAAGACGTCTGGTGCATTCGTGTCGAGCAATGCGACGGTATTCGACTCTCGCAGGCAGGTACCAATTTAGCTAATGAATTACGTATTTCATAAATGTTCACGACGGACTTCCACGGTGAAGGAATAACATCGTGCAAAAAAATCAAACCCGCAAAAATTATAATTTGCGTAATTACTGGTGGTAGAACGGCTTGTGAGTCAACACGGGTAGTTACCACCACCCTGCCTATTTCTTCCGTGCGGCAGTAATGCATTTCGGTTTGAAGGGCCGGGCAGCCGTTGTAACTATACCTTAGAGCTCATATCTGAAGGTGGGTTGCCAAGCATGGGTGGCACCGTGAGTGGTACAAGTACGTTGTAGAGATGTCTATGAACTCCGGTAACCACTTAAAATCAGGTGGGTTGTGAGCTCATCCACCCATCTATACAATAAAAGAAAAAAACACTATAATATACTATTAGTCTATATCTATACTTCTATACTAATATTATAAAGAGGAAAGATTTGTTTGTTTGTTTGTTTCGAATAGGCTCCGAAACTACTGGACCGATTTGAAAAATTCTTTTTCCATTAGAAGCCGACATTGTCCCTGATGAACATAGGCTGCTTTTTTTTTTTTTTTTTTTTTTTTTTTTTTTTTTTTTTTTTTTTTTTTTTTTTTTTTTTTTTTTTTTTTTTTCATGTGTTTTTAATGTTTCCGAAGCGAAGCGAGGGCGGGTCGCTAGTATACTATATTTTGCATGAGTTTTGTCTAACGCTTTGCCTCTTTCTGTCACGAAGCAGTCGAGTTTCAGTTTGAAGAGTTGCATATAGGCAGAACTGTTATATAATACAACCGAAATTTCAATCTTATACCTCAAGTTACATAGTGTCGATCACGTTAGCATTTATATGCTTCGAAAGCCCGTTAACACCAAGTGAACCGTGAACTCAATTAATCGAAGGCACAAAACTTGTAAGACTACCCGCCCGGAGCTTGCAACATACCCTATCAACATTGACTACGCAAATTTTCCAAATTTTGCAAACTTAATTTTTATTGCACGACGTTATTAATTCATTCTGGAATACGTCATTGTTAATACGTGAAGGACGTATTCGCCAAGGGAACTTCAAAACACTATACCATACAACGAGCGGCGTATCCTTTAGACTAAGACGACTGACAATATTAAACCTATTGGGTCATGGACAAAATAACTTATTTCATTCATTGGTAAGATTATATAATTTCATGGAAACAATCTAGAATGATTCCTATAACTAAATTTACTGGAAACCGACGATTTAGCATAAATACGCGTTTTATCACTTTAGTATTAATTTACGTATTCTCTATAAAAAGAAAGACCTTCGTGAAAACGTCATAACATTTGTCATTCTTGTTTATAAGTTGGGAATTTGAATGAACCTTAAGAGATATTCATTGAAATTCAAAAAATTCTATGTTCATATATACATATCCAAATTCTATAGAGAAAAAAGAGATAGAGAAAATAATGTTTATTTATAAAATAATATCAATATTATAATTACACATACCGATTCTTACATCTAGCAACGTATCACATTTTTTTTTATATTAATTTTAATGCTTCCAACATAATTTGTAAAATGCAAATTAAATCATTTTTAGGCCCAAAGTCAACGATATAAGTACGATTTCTTCGTACAGTTCATTTTCCGAGGTATAGCGTTATTCCGTTTATACAAAATTTTACCACTATTTCCATTTTTAAAATTAATTGCAAATATTGAGTTTACGTTGTGGTAGTAGAAATGGTTTCTGTTGATGTAACCTCTTGACTAGTTACCACAGCATCATCAGGTAAGCTAGTCGATGTTAGCGCTGTTGTATCTTTGGTTGGAACAATCGTTGAAGTTGCTTCTGAAGTTTCTTGACCAGTAACAGTTGAAGCCGATTCATTAATTAAATCACTTACTGTAACTTGAGTGGTACTCGTTTCGGACGTGCTTTCTGAGACAATTTCCGTGGTAGTGACTGCTATTGTTGAGGACGGTATATCTTGTACAACAGTTGTCGAGACGGCTTCGGTGGAGATGGGCTCTGAGGTGGTTGAACTTAAATCAGTTAAAGCCTCGGTGATTGCAGTAGGCGTTTCACTGGATCCTGAATCTGTTGTTACTGGGGTATTTGTAATCGTTGTTTCACTTGCAGTGTTAGAAGCTGGCACTGACGTCACTGTTGAAGTATTTTCAGTAACTGCTGCTACAGTCGAAGGTAGTTCTGAAGACGAACTTTCTGAAGGAGTACTTATTAATGATATATCAGTGGAAGTCACAGCCTCAGACGTAACTTCCGAAGAGGTAGTAATAACTTGGGCTGTTGTAATTTCCTGAGTTTGAGAGGAACTTATAGAGGTAGTCGTGGTTTCAGATACAGTAGAAGACTCCAGCTTAGGAATTGAAGTCGACTCAGAGGACGTCACTGGTGATATGGGTTCAGAAACAGATTGCTCTGAAGTTTGAGTGTCAGTTTCTTCTGTAGTTGTAATGGGACTTGTAGAAGACTGAAATGATGGTAAAGTTTCAGTAGAACTTGAAGACAATTCTGGTACTGTTTCTTTTGATTCTGAAGTAGCCGGAGAAACAGCGCTTTGCTCTAATATTTTCTCGGTAACAGGTGATTGTGAAGCAGGAGCAGATGGCACAGACTCTATAGACTCTTCAGATGAAGTTTGAAGCTTGGATTGCTCAGTTTCAATTGGTTCTGCCTCTTCAGCGGAAGGGCCTGCAATTCTTGAATTAATGACTGGTACGGGAGCTAATGCGGATGGTTGGGATATAGCTGCTGGAGGTGCTGAGCCAACTTCTTCATTATCCGTAGGCTTTAATACTCTTCCAGTCTTCTCACTTACGCTTGATGTAAATTGTGTCTCTCCGGAATTCTTTGAGCTTTGAATTATTGTCGGGCGAAAACCATTTTCATCAGCTATATACCTGATAAATGAAATTATGATTTTAAATTAATAAATTTTACGAATACTATTAGGCATTTAGTTACATTTTATTCATCGCTTTAAGCGACACATCGAGCCGTTATTTTTGAGCATACTTTACCACCACCACTCATTATTTATCATGCTTCAAAAAATAGTTATACTATTTGGTAGGTATTCTTAACAATTTTATTTTATTCTTATTTTATAAATTAAATAAAATCTATTAGTAGAAAATGTTTGAAAAGGATTCATTTATTTTGTTCATGTAATGTATATATTAAAATTAATTATATCAAAATGAAACTTGTTTATACATACTTGACAGTAATTAGTGTGCCATCTGGTGCTGTGTAGGAGTAGGATCCCTTTTGAACGTGAATTTCATCACTTTCGTCACTCTCACTGCTCTCACCACTTTCGTCACTACTACTGGCAACTCGCGCTGAACTCTTCGGCAATACTTTGTCAAATGCTGCTTCTTCCCGTTTGATACCGTTGCCTGTCTCGTAACTAAAATTTAAAGTAATTAAGTTTTAAATAATATTTTTAACACTAGAAATTTCTAAAATACGTTTCCAAAATCTTTAGGTTCTTCAATATCAACAAATAGACTTTTAATTAAAATTTTCATTTAATATTATTGATTACAGTAGTTAATAATTTTTTACAGTTACCTAAATCTATAAGCTCCACTAGGGTCGTACTCTTCTGACTGTGACACGATCGGTATCACTGTTGGCTGCTGTCTCTCTAAAGGAACATCCCTATGACGGGGCGCGGCAAGAACGTGCATCACTATCAAAAACAAGATTGTTATTTTAGAAAACATCTTTGCTGTTTTCACTCCAGAAATTTACGGAATAATGATACTCCAGACTTCTCGATCACATATATGTAAGGCTTATCTATTTACACTACCCTCCCCCCGCCTTCCGGTGGAGCGAGACTTAGCGGACGCTAAATACTTCAACCTTAGCGCTTGACTGATGTGTTCTTCGGAAAATTGCACAATCGGATGAGGTGTCAACAATGAGACATGATCAACGACGATTTGACGCGATTAAACCGTGAGCACTCTAAACAAGGTCAGTTGGTTCACTGAAACTTACGTTTTCAGCAGCGCATTATATTACAAGTGATAAAAGTTAAACAAATCAATACATTATTGACCTATAAGAGATGATTATTATTCAACAAAAAATCTTCTAATGAATTTCTTTGTAACACAATTAGTATCTGATAATTTAGTTCTGGTTAAGTCCCGTTATAGATTTAGGATCACTGTTGTCTTTATTAGTTAAAACCTATACTGAGAGGTGTATTTAAATCCTAAGCCTTCATATCATTTTGATGGTTTTTAATTTATAAATGCTCTGTAAGACTTTACAGTCCATAGTTTACATGTCTTTATGACAGTTTACTTTATGAATATCTACGATGAATATATTATATTCAATACTAATAATAATAATTTCAATTATCGCTATGACCGAGAGTGAACAAAAACAAACACAAGAACAATACAATTCTTCTTAAGAAATTAATAATTTTATTTCAGTATATATAGACTGAACAAATATTAAAGTAAAATGTTTAAAAATGAAAATTCAATACAACTCATGAGGTAATTAAAATTAATTGATTGATTTCATAGTTTCCTATTTAATTGACATATTGAATTCATTTTTCAAAGTGGCTGGCACATTACACTTCACCATAGGCTGCGTTAATCAATTCTAATCGGACGTGACAGTGAACTTATTTATCTTAGAAAAAAAACTTCAAACAACAATTTTCTTCATTTTTTTCCTTATAAAGAATTGATTGTTTTGTAATATCTTTTGACGAAGCCGTTGAATTCCTAAAAACTAAAACTTTTTAATGACTAAGACTTTTCAAACCTCCGAAGATATTGTCATAAAAAATTTAGTATCATGAAACTAGGCTACTTTAAATATTTCAACATGACATGATATTTGTTACAAAAGTAAAAAAAAATGTTAATATATTTTTTTAATAAAGTACACTAAAAATTGTCTTGGTTTAAAAACTATTTAAATATAAAATACGCAGGGGTTTTCGAAGTTTATTTACTTGATGATTTTATTTAAAAATCAGTACATGTGATTTAATGAAATAGTAAAATCCGATATAATAACAATAGGCAAAAGTTAGAAAAGAGTAAACAAAAGTTAATAATTATTACCGGCGAACGTATTTTAGTTAAGTCTACACGAATAGGCACCACTATCCTGCCCATTTCTACTGCGAAGCAGTTATGGATTTTGAAAAGTTTGACGTTAATAGGGCCGCTAAACAATTCAACTGAGTCTTCAACCTTATGCCTCAAGGTAGCCACTTAACATCAGCTGTCCTGTGAGTTTGTTTACCCATCCGTAAAAAATCTAAAGGAGAGTGATAGAATACTAACCAGCGATTTTGAGAATTATTTTAATAATTTATCAATCTGTTCACGCAAAGCTAATCTATCAGATCACTAGGCCTATTTTCAGGTAGCTTTGATACGTTGGTAGAAATTAATTTGGAGCAGGATATCATAAAAATCTGATATAATATACATAAATAAAGTTAACGTCTTTAAAATATTTTATAAACACGCTTTGATTTTCTGTTAGGTGCTACATATGAATACATTAACGTTATTAATACGAAAGTGTGTATTTCTGTCTGTCTGTTACGTTTTACTGAAATTCAGTTTGAAAATAATTTTAAGCCCTGGAAAGTAATATGGAATACAACTCGTCCCACTGCTAAATTCGGATCTCCCGACCACGCGACTTAAACTGTAACCCACGCAAGAAAAGCTGCAGACGTAAAACTTGCTAACGTGTGTTTATGTATGTGCATTCTTAGCAGAAAATAAACCTAATCAAATCTCGTCGGACAAGTAGATTCATTTTATATACTTATTCCATAAAATTATAAATACAAGATTTAAGTTTGTCTTTGATTCAATGTTGATTCATCCTCATTACGATTTCAAACGCGTCAGTAGTGTGTTGTAATATCACAAGAATAGATTGAATCATTAATAAAATGATAATATTATTTTGTTTGCTTGTCGTGACTAGTTTGGCAAGTAGTGATAACAGTAGTCAGGATGAGGGTTTTAGAACGATTGCTGCTTACAACTTTAATCATCCTCCAAATGTGGACTATAACCCACTACCAGTCGATGTAGTTTATGAACAAAAAAAGCTTGAAGAAAAATCAAGCGATGACGTCATCACAACAACCGAATATTACGAAGAAATAATTGATGATTCTGAAATCACTAAAGAAGACACCAGTACAGAAAGCTTTAATTCCAAAACAGAGCTGAAACCAAAAGGGCGCTCTTTATTTGATGGTACAGTTCAATCAGTAACAGTTGCAAATGCATTTAAAGTCCAAGTTGATGATACAATTGTTGGAAAAAACAAGATTGTGACTAGGAAACCTTCAAAAGGTAGACGCCGTCAACAACAAGAAACCATAGGGCCCTTGAAGTCGATACCAAGTAGTTCCACTGTTAAACCTTTTACGACAACTCCATCACAAAATGAAAGAATTTCTTTGTTACCTGTCCAGGAAAATCAAAGAAATATTAACAAAAGAACACGTGAACGTGATCCAGTTGTCCCTATAATAGAATCAGAAAACTACATTTACTCTCACAAGGGTGATTTCCACTACAGGTATTGCTTCTTCAATATTCACTTCTGTTTTCGTGGATTTAAAAATAATGATTTAACGCCGTCTACTGAAACACAGATCATATTATTGGTCGGCACATCTTAATCAAAAATAGATAATCAAGTTTTTGTGGCTCTAGGTGAGCAGATGTGTTCACGACAACTCGCGATTCATTTGGTGTTAAGTAATTACCGGAACCCATAAACGTCATAACATTGCGCAGTAACGTTTTTTTTTTAATTATTTGATTTGCCTTTGTTCACTTTTGAAGATCATATGACCCACCTGATAGTAAGGGGTCACTGTCGATCATGTACATGAGCATCACGCACGCTGTCTACTGAAAGTTGTGTCAATTGTATTCCGTAATAACTATATCATCCTTCAAATTGGAACAAAAAGCTGCTTTCAGGCAAAAATTGATAAGATAGAGCAATTGGTACGCTCGCAAAAAAATATTAAAATAATGATTTGTGTTGAAATAGTTGTATCAAATGCTATGTAGAATAAAGAAGAAGAATGAAGTCTGTAAATCGATTGTTTTTTATTCTAGCTACGAAGGTGGAGATGGTACTAAAGCTTTTGAGCAAGGCGAACTAAGAAGGTTTGATGATGATACTGCAGGAGAAGCTGTTTCTGGAAGTTTCTCTTATAAAGTGAGTCTGTTGGGGGAATGATAAGGATAACATGGTTCTAAAATATCCAAATAAAAAGTACAAATAATTACTCGTAACAAAGAAAGTATTAATTTGAAAAATCTACCAGCTGGTAAAAATAATTATTTGAATTCAAGTTGAATGACAAAGTTTTGTTGGATTCCTTTCTTTCGAATTTTTTAGCAATTTCCTTGTATTTAATTATGGGGCTCTGTTCAGTTGGCCTGAAGCTGTTTTCGTAGTCCATAGGTACTAGACATCGCGAATCTTGCCGCCTGCATAGACATAATATCAAGTGCTTGGGATATATTTAAGAAGCCATCCGTACAAATTGGACCACATCGGTTGTATACGTTATTCCCAAATTGTATTCCGCGCAAAGACAGCCTACAGTAAATAAAAGTGCAAAAACATTGCAACCAGATTTCTGAGTTATTCAATTCATATCGCAACAAATGGATCCCAGCAAAAAAATACGGCATTGAATTACAAGCAGAATATACTTTTAATATCAAAGGTTCTATTAGCTTTCGAAGTTTAAGCGTTTACACATTCTTTCGATTCCATTAGGCTCAGCGATTTGGAGTAATGTAATATTTACATATCTTATTGATTTAATGTTCTGTTTTGGATTTAAATATATTTGCAAATTGATTAGGATAGGTGGTTTTCAGAAGATATTTTGGCAACAACCGTGGGTTTGATTGCTTTACAGTTACAGATGCTATTGCGCCAGCGTGGAGACTTCTTATTGACATAGATAAACAGATAAGCTAACAGATTATCTTCTGGTATTTATTGTAAATAAATTAATATTGACTAGATGTGTCGTTTAGAAATCGAGAACGGCGATCTCTTAGGTATAATTACCACCATACTGCCTATTTCTGTGACTATGGCAACTTCGACCTTACGTCTCCAGTTAGATAGTAGCATTCACGTTGTAATAGCTATGGACTCTGTTAATGTCTGTTTTATAAGCTCCAACAGTCACACAGCGGACCTAGACAGTGAAGACCTCCGCATATCTATTTAAAAATAACACATATAATAATTTATTCCAGGACAGGGATGGCAACGATTTTAGTTTATCGTACACAGCTGATGAGAACGGTTACAGGCCTGTGGGCGCCCACTTGCCAACTCCACCTCCCATACCCCCGGCGATCGCCCGTGCTTTACAGTACTTAGCTACAAAACCAACGGAATCGGCCACTGAAATTTATTATTGAAGTCTAAACTAGGTTAAGACATTGTGTAAGTGCACTGATGTATCTTAATACTTACAAAATATATATTAAAAGAATTGGTTGCAACAATTCTCTGAAATGTTAATTCTCGATATATATTCGTACAATCACTTTAAAATTATTCAAAAATTAATCACCGTCACAATAAAGTCATTGGACAAAATTCTGAGCTTTAAAATGTACTTATTTACCTGAATGACATTTGTCCTGACCCGAATGAAGTTACCGAGGAAAACTAGTTTAGAGGTCAAAATTACTTAAAGTTGATAAAACAAACTGAATACATTATTTGAATTGGTTTACGGTGTGTAATTTTTTTTTATTCTCCCATTTTGAATCTTCTAAAATTATATTGTTGCATTGGCATCAAACATCGCATCGATTGGCTTTGGAGTAAGATAATATTATAAGTATTTAAAGAGAGAACGACAACTTTGGCATCGTCAGTTTTAAAATTTCACATTTTTTATTTATTTATTGCTTAGCTGGTTGTACGAGCTCACAGCCCACCTGATGTTAAGTGGTTACTGGAGCCCATAGACATCTACAATGTTAATGTGCCACCCATCTTGAGACATAAGTTCTAAGGTCTCAGTATAGTTACAACGGCTACCCCACCCTTCAAACCGAAACGCATTACTGCTTCACGGCAGAAATAGGCGGGGTGGTGGTACATACCCGTGCGGACTCACAAGAGGTCCTACCACGTGTGAGAATTAAGAATAATTCCTTTTGCGGGTTAAATACGTCGCATGTACCAGTCAGCGGTAGATTTTGCTTAGTACTTGAATTTTTTATGGTCAAGCACATAATTTTTTGCATTATTAGCTTTTCTAATTACTTTAAATCAAATGTTAGCGAGCTACTCAAATTTTATCTAGTGTCGAAGGTTGACCACGCTTAGATTCCACAATTGAGATCTTCTTCCGCAAACAAAAAGGTACAGGTGTTTTAAAAAAAAAAGATAAATCCTTTTTGTTCCGGTTTTCTTTTTATTTCTATGACAGGAATATAACCACTGCAAAGTTTTAAATCACTGTCTTCAAATTTTATTGAGTAAGCATGTATAATTTCATAACACTACAACAATGGATGATCATAATTTTCTATATAAAATTCGTCGTGGCTTAAAGGATGAGATATTTCGATACGATTGTGCCAGTTTACTGATTCTGTAGACAGATAAAAAAAATCTGTTGAAATATACGTACTCTATGTTATAATATGTATATTCTACGTAGTCAATAAATGTTAGCAAATGACTTCCATGGTAAAGGAATAACACTGTGTGATAAAAACGAAGCCCATAATAATTATAATTTGCGTACTAGTAGTAGGGCATCTTGCAAGCCCTCTCGGATAGGTACCATCACCTTAACCGATAATATGATTATTTTTAATGAATACTAATTGAACGAAAACAGTTTGTCCAAAGGTAAAATACCAAAAAGACAAACATGAATTCAATGAAAAATGTCTAATGTAAAAAGTCAAAACTTGCCACCACGACCAACCACAACGGCCCTCAAAATTCATCACAACGACTGATATGGTGCTGTCTCAGTGGAGTCCCACGACTTGGTAAGGTAGCATTCAGGTTATGATGACTATAGTAATATTTCCGTTCAATTTAAAAAAAAAAACAATGTACAAACTCGTCTCATACAGTGCTGACACTATCTGAATATCTATCTGACTATAATATAACTATCTGAATAGTTTTCACACGTTTCATTAACAGAAAGTATTGTAATAATTGCCAAAAAATGGGTAGCGGTAGAGAATCAAGACCCGAAACACGACAGAACGACAGAAAAAATAAAAACGTGTGGCACTCGGGAACTGCCGCGGTAAAGCTATTACATAGCATTTTTTATCAACTTATGCAATTATACTTAGACAATGATAATTTAATATTAAAACAATAATAAAACAAGACCACGCTATATTAAAAACTAATAAAAGCAAAACATTAACTGTCCCCTTCGCACTCATAAGCTAGACCGCGCGAGAGAGAGATGGGCAGACTTTTCATGATGCGCATGCAGTGTGACGTCACGCCACGCGCTTATTCACAAACACTACACAAGCGCAACGTGTGAATGTGTTGAACGCGAGCTACATGGTAGGCGGAGTGAGGGGTGTTAGGTTTTTTTCGTTACGGAATTTCATGATTCGGTCGCCGCGCTCAAGGCCCGCGATAAAAGCTATGCAATAGCTTAAAACGTGCTCGAAAATTTATATTAGTTTACAAAATCCAAAAAAACTGATGAGCACAATTTACAATCCCAATAAAACCTGAGGTAGTAGCATTATCTCATTTCGGTTCCGAAAATGATCTATTAACACTCAATATTATATAACGAGTCAGATAATGTTACATGATCATTATGTATGTACCATTAACTGTTCCAGAAGTGAATTTCGTAAATTTATTTATAAGCAATGATTTTTTTATTGTACTTTTAGGCAGACGAGCATAGGGCCCAAATGATGATGAGTGGTTACCATAGCCCATGGACTTCAGCAAGGGCAGGATCAGAGTCAAGCCGCTGCTTACAAATGAAACAAAACCATTGGTCAGTAGATAAGAGCAGGCCGCCATGGCTTCATCGAATTACTACTAATCTCTAGTAGCAGTAAATAATTTAATAGTAAATCTACTTTTAAGAGCCTAACAGAATTAGTATCGTCATAGACTGCTTTCCTTTTTTTGTAATACAGATGCTTTTGACATTTGATTTACGACTATCAAAATTATAATCTGTAACTTTCTCTACTTGAGCTTTCACTTTTAACTTGACAGGTACTATACTTGTCGATTTTGTATTATGATAATGGCTGCTCATAAAAAGTACCTAATTAACGAACAATTTGCATTTGACTTTTATCAGAAAGAATTTGAATCACTCAAAAACACTACTTTTGGGGTACAGCAAATAATATGCAGTTGTTTTTTTATCTTAGAATTAAAGTCTAGTAATATTTGATATTTTGACGATTCGTTATATTTATATTTACGATTCGGGACTACGCAAACGAAATATTTTAAATTAATTTACTACTTAATTGAATGACAGGGTTCCCCGTAAAATGTTCGATAAAAATATATAAAATCAACTTAATGGTCGCAATAAGTATGACACAGCGGTACCATTGCGATACAGATAAAGAGAGAGAGATCTAGAATTACATAAACCCAGGCTTGACTAAAAAAATTTTTATTATAGATTAAAATCTCATCTTTATTTTATAGCCGGTGATGTTTCAAATACTTTTTGTGATTATAAATGACTTCAATATCGGTGGATGCGTCCAACTCTCCCGAAAGAACCGGAAAAGCTTCCGGAAAACGAAGGATTTGCAAATTAAATTTAAAAAATATATTAAAAGGGCTCGCTGTAAAATCTATATATATCTATATTGTTAAAACGGGCAGTTTATACAACTATTACCTCTAGTAGGACAAAAAACCTAGTACAAATACTTACATAAGCTTTGTGCCAAATTTCACGGACGGGCAATTTAGTGCTTCTTTCTACTTTTAAGCTACAATCGAGTTTCTGGAAATTTTAGAAAAACAGCATTTTAACCAAATGTTCCGTGTTAAATGTATTGTTAGAAGAATAAAATATATTAGCCCCTAAAACAATAAAACAAATGCATTAGGGGATTTTTTATATTACATTTATTGTGTTACTCCAAAGTAACTTAGTCACTATAAATTCGGATGCATCCAACGTAATAAATATTTTTGGAATCGAATCTGGCTTGTTCTTTTGAATTTTATACGTTAACCTGTCACTTATCTGATTGAATTTATCGTGTGGTCAACATGGTTCCTTGCAGAGTTCACGGAGTGGACCTCAGGGCAACCCGTGCCCGATCTTCCTGCCTAACTGGGTGTGGAATTGGCTTTTCTCGTTTAAAGTTTCATGGTCAGGTTCTTTCTTGCAGTCTCCTTTCTAATATACTTATATATTGTTTAATTTTAAGCAGTTCTTATAATGCCTTTAAGGGACGTGGAATAGTATCGTCAATGTATTATAAACAATCACACCCCCTCGCGAATCTTTTCACAAAAACTTTTTTGGTGGTGATATCGCACATTGTCCGAAACACACCCGTTTTTTGCGATATTTACAGGTGATCTATACTGTAATTTAGTATTGACATTTAAATTGGTTACCTGCTGATTCATTTTTGATTAATTATGGATTTCTTCGTGTTTTATGCGTTCCATTTACGATTACTCGACTATAAGGATCTTTGAGCTTAGAAAATAATTCTGTCACATTATTTTTAATTTACGTCGAATAGTGCCAATTCGTTTCTGAAAAAATGTGTGTGCAATTTTCACGTTGCGTAAAAATGTTTTAGATAACAAATTATATAAATTATTATTTTTAAAATTATATTTAGGTACTCATTTCAAATGTTGGACCATGTCAGTTGATATATTATTATTAACTAATTTTTTTTTCTTACTCAAATTGTCCTCATGCATATTAAAAAAAACAGCTCTTGTTTTTCAACTATTGTGTACATGTTATTTAATATTCTGAGAACGTAGGTCTCTAGGTGATATGAAGTCAGTCTAGCATACATCTTTAAAATTGTGGACAAATCTTAAAATCCTTTGTCTTCCGTATAATGTCCTCGATGGCTTTGTTCGAACAACAATACGTGTGTAATTTAAAGTTTGTCTATTTCTACGTAAACTTGGTGTTTTAAGTACTGCAAACATGAGCATCATGAACGATTATAGCATTTGAATGCTCACTGAAGTCATTGATACGATTAATAGGAAATGACATCAGCATTTTAACACCTTTACGACAGTTTGAATTGGTAAATTTGATGCTAATCATAAATTCATACTGTCATTGTTTTACCGAGACACCTTGACGTCTAAAAAAACAAACCACACTTATAATTCAATGCGTCTTTGGCACTGATTTTGCTTTTATTAGTTAAAAATAATTATATCATTTTATGAAGCAATTTTCTATCACAGTTCAGTCGTCGTATTTACATGTTTTCATACGTTTTTTTTTAATTGCTTAATTATATAAGTATGTATGTTTTGTAATTAGCTACCGTTTTGAGCATGTCATAAATCCAAAGAGAAATATTACAATTTGCATTATAAAAATGAATCATTATTAATTGTGCTCAACAGCTGTGTTCAAAACGGTATCTACTAACATAGATTATTTATAGCATGGTGCGGCTGCGGTGTCGTTTGTAAACGTGGCCCGGCGAGTGGTTCGAGGATCAGTTCCGTGAGGATGGTGGAGGAGGCGCGGTTGCAAGGAAGTCTAAGGCCTTCTGGATTGCTGGCGGTATCGGTGGCGGCGTTGGTAAATGAGCACCCTGGAAAAAAGGACGTTGTAATAAAATACAAGAACTACATTTTCATAAAACGCCCTCACATTCTATTCACTTCTTCAAAACGTTTAGTAACTACATAATCTGTACTAAAATCTACAGTGATTTTTACGGATGTTCCCTTATAACTACTGAACCGTGCGTCCGATTGACTAGAAACTTGGTATCCATGTAGAAAATACATGTACTTAATGGATAGGCTAATATTAATATGAGTATTAGACTCCCTACACCAGTTGCAGGGTCGTTAATGATGAGAATCTATTGTGGGGGTGAGAAATAATAATGTTAATTTTAAACGCCCAGCGAAGCGGACGGGTACAGCTAATTATATTATAAATAGAGAGATACAAAATAGTACAGTTCAATATCGTGTGTCAATTGATTTTCTTTAATTTTTATAGCTGCAACCAATTATTTTTTTAATTCAATAAAAAAAAACAAAATACGTATTATTTGTAATACATAAAAAGAGTACAAATATTGAAGGAGTTTTGATTCAATTTCGACCCATGGGCTAATCTCCTGAAATAATATTTTACGTATTCCAAATGTAATTTACATCGATCATATTAGTGAAAAAATTTTCATTAATTTTCTTTTCCACATCTCTGTGGAGAAAAATTTAAGGGTTTTAAAAACTGAGATTTCATTTAATAGCAACAAATCACCTTTTTGTTGTGGATTTGGGTATTAATAGTTTTCAGTTTTTTAAAGACCATTTGTAAAAATAAAAATGAAAACTCAACACGACATTGTGACAAAACATTTTGATATTATCACAAAACGTGATATTTTCCTCGAAAAAAAAAAAAAATTACGAAAGATCCTGTTAAGTCAAGGACAATTTACGTATTTGTCATCTGATTACGCAATTGATCAAAATATGATAATGTAACTAAAATGAATATCGGTTACTATTTAGTTTACCGGGACAGCAATATTTAATGATGATCCAATGCAGAAAGTCAACATTTAAATTTAGATGATGATCGAGTTTCAATATTGGATTTTGTTTTGTATGAACTTGGACGGGTGTTAAGAGATGAATACTGATAGTTTTGTTGATATTTAAAAAAAGGAATACAAAAATATATTGCACAGTAAACTCTATAAAGTATCTGTAATTAATTTAGGCATAACTTTGCTGAAGCAAATTAATAGTAGCATTTTTTTGGTATCGAAGGATTGCTCGTATTCCACAGGCCTTTCGATTTTCACTAGGATAAGTGGTCGAGCAAGGACTCAAATAGGAAGGGTAGGATTTGCCAAAAACTGCTCGAGCGCCTCTGAAGCAGACCTGACAAGGTCAGCTGCTTTGTGAGTATGAATAATTGTTCGTATAGTAGTCAATGCGAACGTATATAGATATTTACATTTATCCGTATATATATCCCCGAAAGAATTCACTAATAAAATCGAATTTGAACCATTTATTTATAATTAGCAAATAAGCCGCTAATTTACATACATTTTACGAGTACTATTATGAGTTTATATGAGTAAATATAGATATGTAAACTGTATTAATAAATCTAGTTTCATTTCTGTCAGCGTGTGATATTGTCAGAAATAGAGGTTCATAATGATGCACCATAAGCTTTATCTGCATATTTGATGGACTATCTATACATAATATTACAGTTTTTTTTTTTAAATTCACATCAAAACATTAAAGAACCAAAAAAAAATTTTTTTTTTAATTAATTTTTTTTTCGTGTTTCCTGAACGCACTTTTCAAGATAAGCTCTGTACAACCGAATGCGAAATCCAATTTATTATTTTCAATTTACTACAACTTCCAATATTTTACAGTTTCTGTGGCCACAGATGACTGACAGAGTTTTGATTCTGTCTACGTCTCGCTAAAACTGAATAAAATGAAACGTATTACACATTTAGTCTAAGGAAACATTTTTATCAAAACCGCTGATTATTCTATAAACCTAAAGCAAGCTATATGATGTAACCTTCTTTTTTTTGTTGCTTAGATGGGTGGACGAGCTCACAGCCCACGTGCTGCTAAGTGGTTACTGGAGCCCATAGACATCCACAACGTAAATGCGCCACCCACCTTGAGATATAAGTTCAAGTAAGTTCAGTTCAGTTCTCAAGTAAAGTTACAACGGCTGCCCCACCCTTCAACCGAAACGCATTACTGCTTCACGGCAGAAATAAGCAGGGTGGTGGTACCTACCCACGCGGACTCATAAGAGGTCCTATCACCAGTAACGTTTAAGCGTTTACCTCAGGCTTGAAGCCACCGTCGTCGTCAGCAACGTAGTTCAGAGAGATGACGGTGCCATCTGGTGCTGTGTAGCTAAAAGCCCCTTGAGCAATGATCACGTCACTCGCGTCCGGGCCGCTTGCCTTTTTCAGAGAGCCCGTTTCCTCCGCTTTTATACCGTTGTCTGTTTCATAGCTGAAATTCAATAATAATAATCTCTATATATAAAAATGGATTGCTAGCTGTTCGTTAGTCTCGCTAAAACTCGAGAACGGCTGGACCGATTTGGCAAATTTTGGTCTTGAAGTCCAGAGAAGATTTGAAAGGTAGATAAATATGAAAATGCTCGGAATTAAATCAAAATAACAATTTTGCTTTTCTTTTGATGTGTACCCCGTCGGACGGATTCCTTTTATTTGTTTTAAGTTTATTTTATAAGGTCGTTTATTTATCGATTGAGGCACTACAAAGTCTGCCGGGTCAGCTAGTAATAAATAGAAATTGAAATAATATCAAATCAATAACCATAAATAATACAAGTATTTCAGAAAAATATGTTTTGTCTTAAAAAAGGGTATGCATGATTGAAAACATACATATATTAACAAATAGAATTTGTTATTGTTAACCATCATCCGACGTGCAGAAATATTTATAATTTTCATAGAGACGGATGACTGGTGCTTGGAACGTGTATCACGTCCACAATTTAGGAATAAACTCACAACCCACTGATTTTCTCGCCGGATCTTCTCATCGGGGCGAAGTATTGCTCATGGGCTATAGGCTATAGGGCTATAGCATATTCTCTTAGGTTGAACCCGTGAGCTCACTTACTTGTCTGAGCATAGCTGGAATAGCCCCTGAGGCTACCAGCCCTTAGGTAGGGTAGGGAAAAAAGATAAAAATAGAGATAGTTCGTAACGATTATATCCAATGATGAATTTTAAATATATTTTAAATAGCTTCAAAACAATATTTATTTCACATTTATTTATTTATTTCTGTTACATCTATTCTTTTGTCGTCACTTTTCAAAATATTTTTACTAGAAAGAGAAAAATATTTGGGATTTCCTGATACATATTTATACAAAACAAACACAAACTGGAAAGTAGAAAAAACCTTTTTAGACTAATATTTACTACTTACTAAAAGTTAATCGATTGTCGAAGCGAATATAGCGCCGTAACGCTTCTAGTTTTTAATTTAGGTAATAACCGTAAATGGTAGGGCTTCTAGAAAGCCAACATAGAAGGGTCATTAATTCACATTTATGGGTTGTAAAAGTGTATGTTTTTGAAGTGAAAACTTCTTTAGAATCGTTGTGATTTCAAACCGGATGCAACGGAAAAAACGACAGGTAAGAGACACAAATACAAAAATGTGTAGGATGAAGCCAGCAAAGAATGAGACAGAAATATACATACTATTTAATACAGCGCCATCTGTGAGATTTTTTAATACTAACGTGTGTATGAAAGCTCTTGTAGTGAATTTTAATTTAGGATTATACGTGAAATTAAAATATCAATTCACAGAGGGCGCTACCTTACAATTATTTACTAATGACAAAATTTTACATATATAGGTACTTAAGACGTTTAGGATAATTGTATTTTAATTTTGGAAGGTTTCACTTCTACCACGTGTGAATTGCACACATTTTGTTTTTTTTATTTATTTTTTATTGTCCCTGTAGGCAGAGGAGCATACGGCCCACCTGATGGTGAGTGGTTACCGTCGCCCATGGTCTTCAGCAATGCCAGGGGCATAAGCAAACCGCTGCCTACGGCTTATTACTCTACTAATAATACTAATAATAATGTAGAAAAGAGTTAAACTCTTAAATAAAGGTCCGCCTTTACTTTTCCACCAAAACTTCCGATTAGCGCCGAAACAGAACTCAGAGATGGCGAGGGGTCGGGTGTCACTACCTTACGCCACCGTCCTGATTGTTTATAACTTCAATTTCATTACTCAATTGGCAATGACATACACTGTTAACGAAATTCAACTCGTAAAGATCGAAACTATCTCCATATTTACGACAGTCTCAGATATAAAACGCTAATTCAGCTTACTTTGTATAATTTATTAGCCAAATTCTACCGTTCTTTACATTACTGAAGTGCGTGTTAAATAAAGAATTTTTTCATAGGAATTTGCTCATGACCTCTGTTTTACGTACGTCAACGAAACGTCCAACGATTGTTCAAATTAACGTTAACATCACGCTAATATAAAATTCCTTTGAAATTATGTCACATGGAAAGTTATATTTTTCTGTTAACATCAATGCAAATAAAAACATTATAAAATACAGGTATGTATCAAGTGTATTATTCAAATCTGTAGATTTTCGCGTGAATTTACGACCCACATAGTGCTGCGGAAATTAGTATGGTAATACTAAAATATGGCTTAGGTCGTTTTTCACACAAAAAAGAATGTCCATTTTCTTGGAATGGTGAATATGGAAATTAAGTGCCTATAGAACTATCCTATCTTAACACAGACGCGGAAACTTGAAACGAACAAGAGAGGCGGGTAAAATGGTGTTATTGACTCATCTCAATTCACTTCCATAATACTTTTACCCATAGTTCATAGTGCCTACTTTAAAGGGCAGAAGATTATACAGCTCAACTGTTGTCATTGGTCATGATCATGGAAATTTGCAATGCTAGAAACACAACTAAGCCATCCACCAAAATATGCTCTCATCATCTCCACAAAAAAAAACTTTTTAAAAGTAAGGTGTACATTTCATATATTGTTACAAAGGTATTTTATTTTATATTTGTCTATACGATACAGAATACTAAGAAAATTTAAGAATATAGACCAGGTAGCTAGAATCTCATCCAGAAAACTCGACAGTGGGGTATCAAGATAATACCTACATTAGTCAAGAGTTACCTACGTACCTACTCTTGAACCGAGAGAAAAGCGAAGTCGATTTGACAAATAAAGCGAAAGATCGAAATTACATTATAAATACATAACAAATTTTATGCATGCAATAAGTTTACATAATTTATAATTTCCTACTGGCCCTTGATAAATGTAGCCTATAAATAATTAATTGCTGCAAGTAACAAATAGTTATGTAGAGATTCCATGAAAAATGAAAACCTATCAAAAACATTGACCTCACATCTCAAGTTGGATGGCGGCCTTCATGTTGTAACATTTATAGGCTCCTACAACCAATAGCAGAGTTCTGAGCTCATTTGACGATCGAGAGCATTATAGAAGTTAAGACCCTGATCAATTTTAAAAAGCAAAACATTGCTTGATGAATTCGATATTTGACAACTAAAGGTAAATTTGCAAGAAGAACTATTTTTCTTACTATTAATTCAGATAAATCGATTTTACCTGAACTGGTATGAACCGTCAACTTGCTGATCAAAATCTTGCTTGATGATTTCCGCTGTCTGGTCTGATTTTTGAGGCTGAGGAGCTGCGAGCGCTGCTGCCACCAAACCAAACAAGAAGATCGACTTCTGAAATAAATTTACAATTATGAATTACTAAGAAAAGATTAAGAGTTGATTGTCTTGAAAACCACAAAGTGTGTGTGCAAATGAAAATGTTAATTTTTATATGTTTTTAATTAGGAACATGTATACTGCTGTCAAAAGGGTGTTTGTTAGTAGTACTGTGTCTTAATATGGAATGGAAATCCCGAAGAATAAGCAATGATTAAACTAAAACTAACACTGTTCGTGTAAGTATTGCGAACTGACACGTACGCAATTTCGGAAACTATAATCGCAACTAGGTTTAAAAAGTTGATTAAAAAGATTTCAATAGAATAACAACCTGAAACTTTTCTTGTCAAATTAAGAGCTAACTCAAAACGAATCTTTTAGTTTAGTCTAACATTTTGTTAAGATTTTTGCTATTTTTTTATAAAAGGCGCTTAGACAATATAGAAAAAAGATCTATGTACGTAGCAATAGAAAAAAACGTCTGAAGTTTGAGACAGCCGTAATAAAATTAGACGTAATAAAAGACTCAGACCTCAAGTACGTGTACGAACGAGCTCATTGTTCACCTATTACATTGGTTTGTGAATCTCAAATCACAACCTGAATGCCGCGCCGCCCACCTTGAGACATGAGTCAAATTCTCATTTGTACATGTTATATAACGGATATTTGACACTTCAAACTGGACACATTCACTTTTTAGATTAGAAAAATTTTATTTAATTATCAGAAGATAATCCAGTTTAAGCCATTTTCGTGACTTCATTCCGTATATAATACATAGGTACATAATTATTCCCTTTGTTTCAGTATATATATTTGTCGATAAATACAATTTGTTGTATTTTAACAAGTAATGTAGATTTCAATATAGATTGTAGGGTTATATTGGTGAACTCACTGTATCGAAAAATCATTTAATTTAGGTTTTTTGAGCATAAAATGTCAATATTTTTAGAAACGATTGTTTTATGATAAAGTAGGCACTACGTATTATGTCGAAATTAGTTTTTGCACGCCAGTGACACGCAAACGTCCACTCGCTAATTATACAAGTGAAGATAAACACAATTAGATGCTCATGTACGCAGTTTTTGATACGCAGCCTTCGAGTTGTAATTTGTTTCAACAAACTTCATTTCGATACGATCGTTCTATGAGCGCGAGTGGGTAGGATTTAAAATCGCCGTGGCCTAAAGAAAAGAAGGGTGTATTCAGGGACGTCTTAAATTAGGCTGGGGCCCTTGGGCATACAATAATTTGAGGCCCTTTTGGAAAGTAAAAAAATATTTTTTTACTGAGTATGACCATTTATTATAGGTAATTCAAATACAGTATGATATAATATGTTATTAATGATATAAGAATGCTGCTGGTTTTTTGGTTACGATTTCGATAACGGAAACCGTTATCGTGATCGCTAGATGGTGTACTTAGTAAATAAGGTAGGATGCGTTCGGAAATATTATTAATAATACAGTAGGAATAGTCATCGATATAATGGCGTAGTATATGCCTTGTAAATACCTTCTGATAAGATTACTGATTTGTGAAAAAAGTGTAATGTGCCCGACAAAAATGTTTTGAGAATAAATGTGTGAGAGAAATTGTCGGTCCTTCGGGGCCCCCTAAGAATGGGGCCCTGGGCACAGGCCCCGTGTACCCTTATGGTAAAGACGGTATTGGGTGTATTCGTATCACGGAGGAATTAGGCAGAAACCTTCTCTGAGTATTAAATCAACGTACTGCTATCGCTAAGCAGAATTGTGTTCAGTAACATCGACACTTAACTAACAGAAACACACCTACCATATCTATATATAAAAATGAATTGCTGTTCGTTAGTCTTACTAAAACTCGAGAACGGCTGGACCGATTTGGCTAATTTTGGTCTTGAACTATTTGTGGAAGTCCACAGAAGGTTAAAAAGGTAGATAAATATGAAAATGCTCGGAATTAAACAAAAATAACAATTTTGTTTTTCCTTTGATGTGTCCCCCGTCGGACAGATTCCTTTTGTTTGTTTTAAGTTTATTTTATACAAAAGTTTGGTCTTTTATTTATCGATTGAGGCGCTACGAAGTTCGCCGGGTCAGCTAGTTTTTAATAAAATCAGCTGGAGTTTAAATAATTTTAAATTTAAATTGTATTCGAACTAATTTTTTTACTAACAATTTGTAGTGGGTTCATTGATTACAATAATAAAAAACTTGAAATAGGTTAGGGAATATAAACACTCGGACGACACTTCACGTTATTTGGCCCATATTTGCAAAATACCAATGGTTGTTTTGATTTTTAATGTACAAACAATTTGTAAACATGTCCTTATGTAGGTCATTGACGAAGATGCGCGTATCGATTACATCTATATTAGTACTTTGTTGGTGTAATTTACATAAGTCATATAATGTTACTAAGGCTGACACGCTTTGTGGCCATTAACAAGATGCTATATTCTATTCTCATAGAAGATATTGGTCCGTTTATAAAACGGCTGTGTGAGTGCGATTGCTTCTGACGATATGAATAATATTCATACATTTGTTGTTATTTTTACACATTATTTAAAAGAGTTCTTTAAATGCTTTCCCAGCGCCGAAATATGTGTAATTTATTCATTCTGAAAATCTTGGTAAAATCTCGTTATATAATAGTTTATGTTCGTCATGTATTCGTAACACTAATTCCAATTACTAAAACAACGTAATTAATCTTATACCTATATATATATATATATATATATACAGGGGATTTCGGGGGCGATAAATCGATCTAGCTACGATTTATTTTCAGAAAATGTTGTTTTAATCGTGTTTTCAATACGCCTCTTCCAGACATCTATTGGCGAATAATAATACTATGTTTAAAGACACAATAACACTAAAGGTATTTCAGCAGATGGCGTTGTTAAGACAACCGAAAAACACAATTTATCAAAAAAAAAAAAAAAAATACCGAGCGAAACTCGGTCATCGTCTAGTTTTTATAATACGAATAAGCACAACCATCCACCCATTTATGTCTTGGCACAGCCTTGTTTTTTATTTATTTATTGCTTAGATGGTTGGACGAGCTCACAGCCCACCTGGTCTTAAGTGGTTACTGGAGCCCCAAGACAACTACAACGTAAATGCGCCACCCACCTTGAGTACTTATTTCATTAGAAAAATTGGAAAATTTGGGATTCGAACACCGTTGCATCGCTAGATCGTCGTGGCATAATAAGACGTCCGGTGCATTCGTACCGGACGTCAAAACTTGTGTTTAGGTTTAAAGGGTGAAAGAACTGCTACAATTGATTCTGCAAAGCACTGCTCTTATTAGGGTTGGTGTCAACAAACACTCTCTGGTTAAGCCTTTGAGCTCACCTACGTTCGCGAGAAGCTGGAATAGTCCCTTAGGCTAACAGATAGAGAAAAAAGTCTACTTTATATTCGTGTTAAAAAAAAAATTCGATGGGCAGAAACTTTTCAACACTTTATCGATGAAATAAAATGAATGCAATGCAAATTTTCACATTATCAAGTAAGTATGTCGAAAAAAAATATACGTCAACTCCAGTCGTAGAAGATAAAACATTTTCGAACAAATTAAATAAAAAAGATACCCATAACCCAACATGCAAATTATTTTAGGAACACTAAAATGCCTGTAAAGTTTGTGTGCGTCGAACTAGCTGTTTAGATGTCAGCTCGTAAAGTGTTTTGCAAGAGTATTGAGCTGTGGGAATATGTCATAGAATTCAAGAGTTGCCTCGAGAAGATATTGTGCTGCGTGCAAAAACAAAAGGTGTGCACCTAATTAACCGCTCGCACGCCTCTCGCACCGACCAGGGACGGATTTCAGGTTATTGTTCTTTCAAAAACAATCACTACCATTGTTTATTAAATTCGAAATCAATGTCAAAATCCCAGCTTCATAGGAAACGCGGTTCTACGTTAACGTGAATAAAATTTCTTTTGTCATGCAATGAAGGTTGCTTCGATTAGAAAATGTTTTAAACATATATTCCGATTGTAGCATTTACGGGCCACTTGATGTAAAATCATGCACATTCACATCCGAAGTCTCAAATGCATTAACACATACACAGATCTACTTTTTAAAACCAAATGCACAACTGTGTACTTTACGGTAAAAAAATATTACGAGACGTGTGGACAACCGTGATGTCTTAGAAAATACTCTTCAATAAATTTATAAATTTTTCTGGTTTCACTTCACTACATGTCATGACTGAACCACAGACGATTTCAGTAAAAGCCCCATTTCACATAATATTTAGGTCAGGTCAGGTCAACAAAACTAAATACTTAATCAAGTTCACATTTTATCTCTCAATTACCTACATCAGTTTTCAACTTTATAAAATCATATGTAAATAAAAATCTCTGCACTTAGAGTTTTAATATGTAACTGAAATTCCATTAAAATACCAAACCGAGCTTAGAATATTCCCAGTATAACGAGTAAATTGCAAAGCAAACTCAAACAGTATTAGCTCAGTATTGACCTTTGAAACTAGCAATATGCAAAAAGGATGACACTCGTGTCGTTGAGGTAAAGAGTCGTCAGCAAAGGTTAGGATTGGATGCAATAAATGCATTGGTTGCTCAACACGCAAACCTTTTGCCCTATTCACCAACTTTGGTCGCGTCCTCAAAACCATATAAAGGCAGATGTGCCGATAAAAAGTATATAAGTGGACGAACATATTAGCAATTATGATATGATGACCATGAAGTTGCGGTTTACTTTTAGAAAAGTTACTTTTTACTTTTAGAAAATAATTTTATTTTAATTTCCACAATCTAGCAATTTCTCTCAAAATCGTGGCTATGAGGGCCATATTATAATGTCAAAATGAGTCGTCTATTATCAAAGGTGGCAATCTGTGCATTTGGACAAAAAAAAATTATTGATATGTCAATTCAGATTGATTTGAATATAATCGTCTCCTTCAAAGAATACGGTTCAAAACCTGCATTAAATAAAGGTTAATAGTTAACCTGTTATTTATCTAAGATGTCGTTCCGAAGAGTTTTGTGATTGCCAATGGAATACAAAGTCAATAATTCGTTTTTCTGATTTACCAATCATTGTCCAAAAGTCAGATTGCCGCCTTTGATAATAGTCGACTCATATATGAGTCGTCTATTATCAAAGGTGGCAATCTGTGCATTTGGACAAAAAAATTTTATTGATATGTCAATACAGATTGATTTGAATATAATCGTCTCCTTCAAAGAATACGGTTCAAAACCTGCATTAAATAAAGGTTAATAGTTAACCTGTTATTTATCTAAGATGTCGTTCCGAAGAGTTTTGTGATTGCCAATGGAATACAAAGTCAATAATTCGTTTTTCTGATTTACCAATCATTGTCCAAAAGTCAGATTGCCGGCTTTGATAATAGTCGACTCAAATATAGTAATTTGTTCTCATTTTCAACTCAATCTCTTCATAACCCGATCAAGTGATCAGTCTTCCAGGTCGCAGTGAAAATATTTTTGTAAAAATATCTTTACTTTTTTTAAACTGATTCTAATTTATTTAAAAGAAAAACAAAGCTATTACCGCAACAATCTTACAGAAAATAAACTATCCTATTCTCATGACACAGATAGTATGGTAAAAAACTGAATTGGCAATAACATAATTTCTGTATCTATGTTAGTTGGGCTTATAACTGGGTTACTATTTTTAACAAGCTACTTAGTAACAGATAGTTTGAATTTCGCTGTACTCATCTCAATTATTAAATCCTTTTTCGTATTAAAATGGCAATAATTATCAAGATTGGCAATCGTGCCAAAAATAAATACTTGGTTAGCATCAATCTATTTCAATTTGTTTTAATATGAAAATAGTAGAGTTAGTAAGGGTGTCTTAATTAATTTATTAATATTAAAAATCTTTTATCTAGCTGTGTTTTTTTATTTATTTCTAGTCGTTAAAGCAAAGGGCCTAATGGCTTGATTGGATCAGATCGGTTAATGGAGTCTATAGACATCCATAGACGGATATCTCCACGAACCCTAAACTAAGATTTCTATTCGAACTTAAAAGACGAGGCTAAGTCCTGTTTCATAACCGTTCAGTGTTTAACGATTCCGGAATTTCACATTTATTTCATTAAGCAATAAATACCTTTTCTACCACACCCTATGTTCTGATATTTTGAATAACAAAGCTCACTCGTACCAGAAGACATAAAGCCACAACTGTTAGTATTAGTCTTACTGTTATTAAATTTAAATAGGCCATTTGGAAAAAAATATTGAATAATTTGACTTACCATCGTCATTGTGATATTATGTACTTTTTTCGTTTAGGAAAGATGTCCCATGTGGTTGCAGTTAGCGGCGTAGGCGCCGGATTGTACTTAGTCTTCTAATCACCTGTCCCTTTTATAGAGACGCGGGTTTGTCTAGCTATTGCATACAGCAGGGGGAGTCTGTACTCAGTACATGACGCAGGGACGGATTCAGACTTGCAAAAGCTAAAACTAATACAAAGGATTTTTTTACAAATAATGGAACATATAATTTAAAATACTGTGGCAACACCCTCTCTGTAAAAGTTAAGACATAAAAATTCCACCTGACCCAAATACTTATCGTTTGAATTTGATGAAACAAAATCTTTCCTTAAAAATATGCTATATTAATATTTAGTACATCAGTACGAATAAGGTCTAAGTTTGTAGGATCTATAACCTATAATATGTATTCTATTGCCGATAGATTCACGAAAGAATTCGCAAATTCTTTGCTAACCAACGAAAACAGAAAACAATTCTCATTGTGGTAATCCAGTACTTGTGCGCTTGCAGTAGTAAATATATAGTAAGTATAAGTAAATAATTTGAATATAAGTATATAAGTAAAAAATATGAGTAAAAATTATAATTTGCGTAATTACTGGTAGGTACCACCGCCCCGCCTATTTCTACCGTGAAGCAGTAATGCGTTTCGGTTTGAAGGGTGGGACAGCCATTGTAACTATACTGAGACCTTAGACCTTATATCTCAAGGTGCGTGGCGCATTTATGTTGTAGATGTCTATGGGCTTCAGTAACCACTTAACACCAGGTGGGCTGTGAGCTCGTCCACAAATCTAAGCAATAAAAAAATAAAAAAAGAGTAGCATAACTAAATCTAATATTGAAAGTGAATACGGCGTTTTTTTTGTTGTTCAAATTGATTATTTTAATTCACATCGTAAAGTGTTCACGTGTCATTTGCTCAATTCAAACTTTGTATTCGCACTTCGGGAGAAGCTTAGTTCAATCAACACACGACATGTGGCTCAAAAATAATTTTAATAAATGGGTGTATTGCAGTTTTTTAGGGGCCTGTAAAGCATGTTCAGTTGTAGGTCTAAATAGAAAATGGAATTAGGAAAACAGAAATTGAGAATAAGAACTAGCATGTACTGCTTTTTCTTTCCTCTTCAGTACATCTATTGTGAAACCATAGGTCCACCTCTCGCCTACCTGTCCTGGTGAAACTGGAAAGGCCTCCGGGTCACCAGTAATTCTTCAATCCTAAAAAAAAAGGTGAACTTATGAGTTAATAATTTCGGCAAGTATTGGTATTGAGAAACGTAACGTTAGGTCTTACGCTAGGAAACAGCATCCACGTTACTCGAGTTGCTATACGCTATATATTACGCATAAGTAAATACATACCTATATATAGCGTACTGTCATTTATAATAGCACATATACATATATAGCATTGCAATTTGCATTTATTCTCACTTCTACTATCGAAGACCAACACACTGATTACTAAATTATTGATTTCATCATTCCCATGTCAAACGTAACTTTATATTGAATGAACACACTGTACAATTTTGCACTTATAAGAATGCAGATTCTCGTCTGATTCGTTCTAAGCTGTAGACGTAGACATCCATATTGTGAATATATATAATATATATATAAACCACAAAACAAAACAAAAAAAGCAACTTACATAAATTTATGTATATAAATATTTACAGTTTAAATGATAAAACAGAATTTACAGCTTTTATTCTAAGACGTACTTTCTCCGAGCAAGCCATTATTACCTTACTCCTTTACCTTACTCCAAGCGATTGATAATATGTACAGGATGGAAGTGTATGACGAGATGCCATTAGTTAGAATCTAATTATCGACTTTCGGTACATTATGTGAGATTTAAACAGGTTTTTTATTTTTTTTTATTCCTACCTAATATTTGGTAACATAAAGGGCTACTCCATTTACGTGCGGACGGGTGAGTGAGCTCATGAAGCTCAACCTGAGAGAATTTACCAATACTAACCCTAGCAATAGCAGTGCTTCGCTGAATATACCACCGGATCGGAATCGCAACCCACTGAGAACATCCGGCGAGAAACTCACTGGGATGTGTCTATGAGATTTTTTTTGTATATGTATTGTATAAAAATATAATTCCAGAGCATAATTTAATTTGAGTAATTGTGAAGTAAGACAAGAATACGACCTGTCTCATGTCGCATTAATCATGTCACACCGCTGAAGTATACTATATAGGTATATGTGTCACACACAATCTCATGTCACATAAAAATACAGAAAGGCTTGAAACAAAAGCCATGTGCTATACTGGTGGTAGGGCGTCTCGAGAAGCCCCACTGGTACCACCACTCTAGCTATTTCTACCACGAAACAGTAAGGTATTCTACTTGGCAGGACGGAAAAGCTGTTATACTACAAAATTTATATCTTATGTCACGAGATGGGTTTCGGGTCGAAATAATACAATACAGTACATAACGGATTTATTCACAAAAACAAAGGCAAATAGCGCTAGTGAGTCCTAACTATAAACGTTTAAAAATGGCGGTCAAAAATTTTATATAACTACTAAATCCCATTTGAGACGTCATTAAGGACGTTTATTTAATCAGCTGATAACGCAATACCCTGTGTCGCGTTTGTGTAAGATAGCGGTTTCGAAAAAAAAAACACACACACTACAAAATATTATATTAAAGTGCATTTTGCCTATTAGTTTTAGGGACTGTTAGTGAGATGAAAATTTAACCAGGAAACGAAGAGGACAAAATAAAAGAAATAATCAATCATCAAATATGATTAAACCCGGAAGTCGTCAGTTTCCTTATAAGGTTCCCAAATGAAAAATGAGAATGAAGAAAATGTTAAAAGTAAAAAATCACACGTATTATTGCGCACACAGCGCAGTATTATTTGTGGCCTTCCACAACATTATAATTATTAAAAAAAAAAAAAAAACATTTATACGAAAACCAACCGGAAAATCAGATATATACAACAGGATATCGCGATACTCTCACAATCTTCTTCAAATTTCACGTAATCTTTCAATCGTCTTTCAAAAGGGTAATTTTATATATATATATATTTCGTATATATTTCGTATATATATTATATTTCGATAATTTCAAATGCACATATGACCCGTTGATGTCGAGCTTCTCTCTGGATTGAGCAAATTAATATTCTAAACAGGAAGCTGATCACATAACATACCTATGTTATTTATTGGCTTTTTCTTGTAATGAATTCTGAAAAAAAAAAATTTTTGCTGACTGAACCACTGCAAACTCACGTAGCTAAGTAACTGCCCCTAATATGTTAAGACTCCACAACGGCGACTAGTTACCATCTCGATAAGTTCTCAAGAGTACTCCCATGGAAACAATAGAACATGCTCAAAGTCTCTCCGTAATTCCAACGGCTCCAATTTTCAGCCTGTTACCCCCGAGAAATCTAACGGCTCGTCTCTGAAGGCAATCAAATTCAAAAATCTGTTGTTTAAGAACCCCGGACAGAGCACTACCCCAAGCCTGGTGTGGCCTGCGCTTAGTAAATTAAAAATCTTTAGACCATGGCGAATTATTTACCAGATTCATGGAGAACGGCAACATTTTTGAAATTTAAATTATTTTATAATTGTATGTGTTCCTGGAACAAAAATGTACCCAATAACGAATGTGAAAATCTGCAGAAACAAATTCAAGTCAATTAATTTTACACCACAATGTCTTGACCTCACCAAGAATAGTCAATAATGGTACACATTAATCGGCCAATATCCATTATCGATCAATGAAGACACATTAAAATGATCAATGTCTATTCCTCTAAGCAATTCATCAACTTTAAACACAAGTATTAAATACATTTAACCATTGAATACTGGCATAGTTATGATAACTAATATCGATTAGATGTGGTATTCTAAAAAAACCAAACTAATCAAGCCAGTTTGACCTTTGAGATATTTATGTTTTGTTTATACGATACAAGAATCAACGAGATTCGCCGGGATGGGGCAAAAATATTTTCTGAGTAATTGAGGGTATTGTGATCGTCAAATTGTTTAAGTCATACGGCGTACTGGAAACCTACACGGGTAGGTACTACCATCCTTCTCGTTTCGGCCGCGAAACTGATAGGTTTTCATGTAATGGGCAACTTAAAGACGGCTGTTATTCAAAAAATTTAAAACGTTTCACATTTCATTCAATTTAGTTTACGAATACCTTACGTTGAATTCTACTAGAAGTAAATAGACAAAAATATAAAGTATAATTTCCGAGTAAAACGTGCACCGCTTCATAGGACTGGAGATTAGTACTGTCTTCCGTTAATAACCCCATTTTAATTGTTTGCTTTATACAGTGCATGCCGTGTCGCACGGAGTCCAGAAATTCAAAATGAATTCCACAATCTGCTAGCATGGGTCAAGTGCGTAGCGGTAGCTACCATAGAACAAAAGATATTTGACAGATGCCTGAAAAAGGCTAATATGTCATTAGCTCTGTCTCAGGCCCTTTTCAAGATAAGTTAACATATGTACAAGTTCCATACAGCAACATTCGGACCGTCGATCTACCGACCACTGTCACGCGTCAGGTAAAAGATCTTCTATGGAGACATCGACATGTTTTCAAGACACATCATGCCACGTACCCCAATTGTGAATGGTTTTTGGAAAAGCACTGTAAGGTGTGGTGGAAAATACTAATAATTGGTTTAGAAGGTCTAATTATGGCCTCACACATAATCACGGCCCTTCTTGTGTAAATTAATATTCCAGCCTTTAGACCACAACCTGAAAGCTAGCGCAGCGATATAATCCGCTTTAAAGCTCAAAATTCTATATAGTGTTTTTTTTCTAAGTACGTCCCCTATGTGCAACATTATCTCGTTCATGGTACAATAGAATAACTATTAAGAGTCTCGTAAAACGACGACCAACACTTAAATGGTACGCACGCTTTATGTCAATTGCAAACTGCGTCGCATGTATGCCACTGTACTACTTATGATAGAAATCCATTTACCAAAGAATTAGTCATGTATAAGGCTATTATTATAAG